ACTGTAAGAAAATGTCTGATCCAACTAATTAGACACTAATTGCCTACTTAAAATAATAAAAATTTTTAAATCTTTATTAATACCAACAGTCTTAAAAAAAATATTTTTATCCACGGTAATCTAAGATCATCCCATAGGCTTATTAAAATTTGCTTATTAAATATTTTAAAGATAATAATTATGGAAAAAATGTTTGGAATATATTTTAAATTAAAAAAAGTTATATTTTAAAATATTTTAAATTAAATTGTTAATTTATGAAAAATATTGAATAAAATGATTATTTTCCAGTACTTATTATACACAAGCTTACATTGTTCTCAGTGCTGGCGCAGAAAATTTGCGCACGGCATCGCTCGAAGCGGTAACTTTTCTTACATAATTGACATAACGTATACGTAATATGCAGCTGCCTAGGTAAAACCCAGGCCCACATGCAAAGTGCGCATTGCTCGCTATCTGTCTGCATGGCGGTGTGTGTGTGCAGTCAATTAGAAAATGTGCATTGTACATAATTAAGATTTATATACACTCACACTGAGAAAGAGGAGCGCACTCACAGAACAACAGTCAATATCGAATGGATTTCGCACAGGGAAAGCGGAATAGTGAAGCACTCGAAACCAGTCGTGATTAAATGTTTGGTTCGATCGATCAGGAAATACGCTGCAATAAACCATTTTAAGCATTTGAAGATAAAGAAAAAATAATTCATAACTTAAAAATAAGCAATTTTAATAGATAAAAAAAATTCTGAATATGGTAATTTTAAAAAATAAAATTAAAGAATAATAAGAAAAAACGATAATAAATACATTGAAGACTATCATTGACCTACATTATTTTATTAACATTACAAAGACTTTCTTATTTTTCAAAATTGAAACATGGAAAATTAACCGAGAGGACTTTTAATGAGCAGTTGAAAGTATAATATTTTGGTCCAGCAATCGATAATGATGCAGCTCATTTCTCGACCGCTGCAACTTTAGCCAAAGTTTCATTAGAAGCAGGGGGTTTATTGGGTTGGGTGTGGAAAAAAACGCTTAGCGCGTTTTGTGGAAGCCGCCAACTGGATGCAAATTTCCATTAGCCATGCAAACGCAAAACTAGCCGCCATTTATCTGTCTAACAGAAGCGAGGGGCAGGGGAGAGCGGAGAATGGTAAGGGGATTCCCGGCCTGGCAGTAGTTAAAATTTACTGCCCAGTTACCAAACGCAACAGTAGCAGTTGCAAGTCGGCAATATGCATACGCATTTTATGCGATGCAGCAAATGACGTGGAGCGGGGGGAAAATTGGATGGGAACTAGGGGAACTAGGGGAAAGTCGGGGAAAATGGGGCACACAAGAAGCCGGAAGGGGCGGCGGGTCAATTTAATGGAAATTTTTATTGAAAGCCAACAAAGCGCTCAATGGGCCAGCTAATGGCGTTAGTTGGCCCAAATGGGCCAAGTCGCTGGGGGACTGTGAAGTAGCTTAAAAAAGTTAAATGAAAACCAGCTGCCACACTATCTATCTCGCTCCGGCTCCCTCCATGGCTCTCTGTATTTATTAATAACGCCTTTTGACTTTTCCTGCCTCCCAGCTAAAATGGAGAGCGACCCCTGCGAAAATTCTTATAAATTTATGGTAAGTGCTTTAGTTTCAAACTAGCTTATGAATAATAAATGTACCATTCGATATGCAATCAGTTAAAAGTTTTATATTCAATAGTTGCTTAAGCCCTGCAAATTGGAGGAAAGCTTGCAGAGTCGTACTTAAAACACTATCAGAAAATAACCATGAGTCAAAAACATAGGAAATTAATCACAAAAAGCAAGAGAGCAAAAGCTTGCAAATAAATTATAAACGATAAATGTAAGCACGTAGATTAGTACTTGAAATACTTAAAATAGAAATTACATTCTTAAAAATGTTCTAAGAAATAAGTCGATGTAAAATTTAAAATTTAAAATTTTTAAAATAGATTATTTTATAAAATTTTTTTTTAAAAAACATTATTTCCAAATTTTAAATTCAAACACCTTCTATCCTAAAAAGATTTAATTTCATGTCAAAAAAGCTTTTGAAATTAATTTCTCATTATTTTGTTCGCGTATTTTTATTTATTGTTTTTCGGTTTTATAATTTCTGTTTTAATTTCTCATTATTTTAATGCACATTCTCGGCGCTCTTTTTGCCATTATTCGGCCAGCATGGCGTATACTTAATAAGCTTGCTATCGCCATCTTACTCCGAAGTCTCCACAACCCTATCCTTCTTTTTTTTATCCGCTCCAGTCTGTTTCAAATGCCGCTCATTGTTGCTGCAGTTTATTAAATATGCTTTTAGTTTCGCAACAGCCACGCCCACTTGGCTAAGTGCGGAGGCGGCGGGGACTGGGCGACCGTATGGCAAATACTGCCAAAGGCAGTTTAGTTATTAATTTTTAATGCGTCCGCATTTCGCATAATTACGCCATGGAATGGGTAGGGAAAAAGCTAAAATATTCTTGTGCCCGTTTTTGGCTGTAGCAAGTTATTTATTTGGCCTTTGGCGGCCAAAATTGTGCAAAAATTAAGCGCCAAGTTATTGGCTGCATTCCTTTTTCTGAGCGTTTTCCGAGTCCGCATCTTTTTTACCCCTCCATTATTTTTGCATAGCCAGCGGCGTGGATGCGAAAAAGGACTAAAAGCAAATTTTGTTGTTACAAAGTCAAAGGTTTTTAATAATAAAACGAGGGACAAATGGCGAGGGTATAAAAGAGGGTTAAATGCAAAATATTGCAGAGTACTAAGGGAGTAAGTATGGCCAATGTTTTGGCGGAAATTCTGAATTCACAAATCGAAGCAACTAGAAGATAAGATATACAATTAAAAAATGTCAATCTCGTATTTTCTCTTTAAATTTTACTTAAATTTTTAATGAAATGTTTTTTATAAAAAGAACAACAACATCAAACCCAAAATCTTTTTTAAAAAAACACATTAAAAATGAAACACCAAAATATTTCTAAGCCTAAGACATAAAATAGCAATAGCAAAACATGAAACAAAAATGAAACCCATTTTGCAGGCTTTCCTTATGCAGAAGATAGGCTTTACTGAAATGGCACCGAAAAAATCGTATTGCGCCCAAAAAAATTTAGAGCACAATTTCCATAAATCGAGCAGCAGCTATAACCACCCACTTTTCCCAATTTTCCCGCCAGCCCTCCTCCATTTTTCACCCACCCAAAGGCGGTAAATGCAGCTGAAGAAGAAGAGAACAGCGGAGGAGCAAAGCCAAAAGCCTCACCAATAACAAAAGGCAGGCAAACTGCTGTTAAACTGTTGTTTAAACGCATTGGCAGTGGGTGTGGGCGAAAGAAATGCGGTGGGTGGTGGGTGGCTGGGTAGTTCCATTGTGCGAACCGCAAGCTGAACCACACGTACACACAGACATACAGGGTAGCGATCTGCTGCCGCATGAATGTATTGGTATTGAAAATCCCTTTGATTTTTTGCCGCACCGTTGCAAACAGCAATTTGGCAAATCCTTTCACAATCAAAATCAACCACAGATGAAATTTTGCCCAGAAAATTCCACAGAAACAGCATTCGCTATCCATGGTCCAAAAAAAAAAACTTTTTAACTTATAGCAGAAAATTTCCCGACCGTGTGTGCATGTGTGTGGGCATGTAACTTTCGTATGCTCAAAAATCATTCGACGGTAAAACGCCAAATTAGCGTTAAGTGTACACTTGAAAAAAATACTTGCAGTTCTTTTTAACATTTTTTCTACTTGATTTAAAAATTAAAAAAAATAATTGTATTATTTCCTTTTAAATGACGTGTACCAAAGCGTTACTATACATATTTTGCAGAAAAGGACTTAAAAATTTTTTTGTAAGTATCTGAAGCATATTTTGAAAACAATTGTTTCTTTTTTTTTGAAAATTAGAAAAGAGTTTATTCGATATAAAGGCATACATTTTTATAAAATCCTGATTTTTTCCAGTGAGGTCCTTGCTGAAGTCCTTGTGCTGTCCCCTTTTCAGCTGCTGTTGCTGTAATTGTTGTTGCTGTTGCTGTGTGCAGGTGCTTAAGCATTTTACGAGCAACTGTATTCAATTTGACTGCCAGCCTCTCGCTTTCTCGCTCTGCCGGCACATTACGCATACGCCGTGTGTTAAATGCGCTTAAAAGTCAGGCCAATAAGTTGTTGTTGTTGTTGTTGCTGCTGCTGCTCTTGTTGCCGGTAAATTGTAGTTGCTGCCACTGCTGCTGTTTGTGTAATGAAAACTTTTACAACGCCATATGCAGGCTATTAAAAAACAGCTCGCACACACAGACGCACAAGGGAAAGTACGCGAGCGCCTTGGAATATGCAATCAAGCTCATTTATACTCATTAAGCGCTTATGTGCAGCGGTATACGTGGAGCGAGGGAGATAGAAGCGGAGCAAGTGAGACGGGTGCTGTGGGCTCAGGGGCTTAATAAGGAACCCGGCTGATGGGACGGTTTATTTTGGGCCGCCCAAATTGGCAAGGATTCCTTAGCTTGCTGCAGAATAATGCAGAGACTTAAATTAAAAACCAATCATTGATAAGTTCAAATGTGCAAAAAAAATACTTTCAGGTTTTTAATTTAAATTATGTAGTATTAACTTGAGAATACTTTTAAAACTTTTTTAAAGTCTACACTCATAAAAATTTCATTCTAAAATATAGAGATCTTTGACATTTTTTTTTTTAGTAAACTTACTTAAAACTTACTTAAACTTAAATAAAGAAAATTTATAAAAGCAAAATTAAAAAAAAAAAATATTGTAAAATGGCCGATAAATACAAAACATTTACAGAAGAAAATGTTTTGTCGTTACCAAGGCTAGCGATTTAATGGTCAGATTTCTTAATTTTAGAAAGACATTTTTATGAGTTTAATATTTTATAATCTTTAAAATAGGATATTTAAAAAAAAAAGTTCACAAAGTTCTTCAATTTTCCCATTTTTGAAAATGACGAAAAACATCACCAATTGGGACCTCTGCATTTTTATTAGGAGAAAAACGGAGACAAAAAACGGATAAATTTTGAAACAATACAAAATAAACAGGAATTTAAAAATTATCGTCATCATTGGGTGGTAATGGACATGCGCTGGCCTCCAGTAGGTTCCTTTCCGCTTCCAAGCGCATTTCCTCGGTAAAACTCACTTCCGGAGGTTTCAAGGCGGGGGACACAGTCAATTCCAATTGGGGATCACCGACTAGCTGACGTAGCAAGTAGACAAATGGCCTCTCATAATTGTAGTTGGACTTGGCCGACATTTCAATGTAATGAAGATTATTCTTCCGGTGGAATGTAACTTGTTTAGCCTTAATCTTTCTATATCTGATGTCAGCCTTGTTACCACACAACACAATCGGAATATTTCCGCAAACTCTTAACAAGTCGCGGTACCAATTACCCACGTTCTTGTAGGTGATCTTCGAAGCCAGATCAAACATAATAATGGCACACTGGCCCTGGACGTAATATCCATCGCGAAGACCACCTAGCTTCTCCTGACCAGCGGTATCCCAAACATCGAAGCGAAACATTCCTCGGCTTGTGCTGAACAAAAGTGGGTGCACTTCCACGCCCATCGTCGCCAGATATCTCTTCTGATACTCTCCGGTCAGGTGACGCTTGACAAAGGTCGTCTTTCCAGTTCCCCCATCTCCTAGAAGTACCAGTTTGAAAGCGGCCACCACTTCGTTTTGTGAATTCATCATCGAAAAAAAATAAATGTTGAAATTTCTGTGTCTTAATTTTAGCTTCTCTAGAGTAGTAAGTGTTTAGCACTGAAAATACTAGCTATTTGAAGTGAACTTTTAATCTATGCCTACTTTGTACATGTAAAACGAAACCAAATAACGTGGTACCTTTGATCAATTTCTTTTTTAATTTTGTTTGTACATACACAAAATTAAGGTCGTTTTAGTTTTTAAATATTAAATATTCACAATAATTTAATATTATATATTTTTTTTAATTCCCTTAATATTAAAGTCTTATTATAATGATAAAATAAATAATTTAATTTTAATGAAAAACAAAATTATTAAATAAAATTGAATTTATAGTTATAGTTTTATTACAATATTGTTTTTATTTTCTTCTTACTTGGAACCGCTCCTGTCTTATGGTATATATGCGTATGCCTACGATTAGTTTTTACTTTGGTCTTAGGATTCTTCTTAAGTTCAGTGCCTGCTAATATGTTTCTGATTTCTTCGGTGTGCCCTGATCCCAAAAGGGGAAATTATTCATTTTTTGGCGAGGGAAGCGAGACTAGTCGGGACCTAAATTGGAGTACCAAGGTTCAGGAGCCGACGACCCCGGTTGTATATATAGATATCTGTATGCTGCTATTCAGTGCATGAATTTATTACCCCATCCTCATTCTCCAACAAGGCAGCTAAGTAATTAACAAATTAAAATATGTGAGTGGGTTTGGGCGGTAGGAAAACGGATGGATATAACGATTCGGTGGAGTAAAAGCATTGCAAGATGCTGCAGGGGCTAGAGGTCAAACTGTAAAACAAATTTGGGGGCATTTCGAAAGACCAATAAATTATCTAAAGATATAATATTGTTTAAAGTGCTATATGCAGAACTATAAATTATTAGAAATATAAAAAATATTACAAAAACATTTAAAATATTTCAAATATCAATAAATTTTTAAATTAATTGCCTAGCCTTGATTTACCTAATATACATAAATTGTGCCATAATTCGCCTAAAATAAATTCCATTGATATCCATATGATATCTGCAAACTGATCAACTTTAAGGACTTCATTTATACTCCAAAGCAACACCCTTTGAGGACATCCGCTTGGCCTACTCTACGCACCCATATTCAACACACAGGTCGTGTTGGCCAAAAGCTGTCGCATCAAATGAGCATCATAAATAATTTCATTTTCATTTCGGTTTCAATCCAACCCCAAAAACCCCCTCGACCAATGATTTTGGGTTTTAAAAGTGACACCCACCCCTCCGCCCCGAAAAACGTAAACCTATAATTTACGAGAGGCAACTGTTACACGCACAATTTTATATATACATATGTACTTACATATATAAATATGTACAATCGCAAACAAAAGGAAATTGCATTCAACAATAGTTACAATTGCTGTGAGAGCCGAGAATGCCATAAATCATACGCCCAGTTGTACACGAAAGCATTTGCTGGGGCGTTAATTGTAAATAAATAACATATTAAAATTTCCAGTCAATAGGTTTAAGCCGTAATTAAAAGTAATAATGCGAAGGCAAGTGTTTGTCCTTCGCCGTAGCCGTAGCCGTTGCCGTTGCCATTGCCATTGCCATTTCCATCGTCTTTGCCCATTTCGTCCTGAAACGCCAACAGCAGACGGTGCAAAACTTTTGGCCCCCGAAAAGGTCAATTAAACTGCATTAAGTTTAATAACTTTCAGTGCCCGAAACAGTTGTGAAGCCCAGTCGATGGGAGTGGGTGAACGGGGGTCTCCTTGCCAGGACCAAACAGGATCAGCCTTGGCGAGCGGATTATGTAGAAAACAGACATACGAACAGAACAGATTGTGCGGCAGGCCACATGCAGCGTCAACAACAAACAACACCTGTTTATGGTTTTTCGTTAGCAGAAATTTTACAACTGCCAGGACGAAAAGGACGAAGGATGTGATAGAGCACACACACTCTCGCCTCACGGGGAAGTCACGTTTGTGTATGTGCGACGGCGAGGCCAAAAGTTTTCGTAGCCAACTAATTTTTCCTGTCAAATGCACAGACGACAACAAGGAACCCCGAATAAAAGAAGGACATAAGCGAAGTCCTATCTGCGATGGCCGACATTTTAAATATCCTTGCTGGCCCTGTGGCCCCCATAAATATTAAATAAATGCTGCTTTTTATGTATAATTTACTTGCTTATAAATGTAAATCCCATATATTGTAGGCCAAATAAATAGTTGAATTACTTTTAAGAAAATAAATGTCTCAATAAATCCTACAATGTACATATATTTATATTCTCATTAACATTTGTTCTAGAGAAAAAATGAATTTTTTTATACGTAATATTATCTTTATTTAATTGGTTTGAAGTTCATGCTATAATAAATGTTAAATTATATTATTTTTATTGAATTTTATAAAAATATAGTTATAAATTAATTTCTAAAGAGTAAATATATATGTTTAAAAATACATTTCGTGGAAAAAAAGGTTTGATCCGAATTTATTCTTTTTAATTTACTTTTTTGGTTATGAAAGGCAATAAAAACTCAACGGTGATTTTAAATCTCTAGGATTTTTTTTTAGATATTAAAAATATATTTGAAACAATAAATATAAATGTAAACCTTATTGGAATTAATTCAAATGCAGATATGCGCATCTTTTCCTTAAAAATGATTCAAACAAATATTTTTTTCAGATACAAATTGATAAAAATAATTGTTTTTAAGTTTCCGGAAAATCGAATAAAACCCTGTTTCAGGGTGTGTGCCACCCAAAAGGAAAGGAACATTATAAAGCGGCGGAAGAGCAGGAAAAGGCTGGCTGGTTCGGATAGCTGGTTGGCTGGCAGGCGACGCGACGTCTTGGCGGTTCGGATTCGGTGGCTGAAGGTGAAATTAAATGTAAGCAGGATAAGGATGCGGGATAACGGGAATGGGATGCGTATTCCCCGTACGTACTATACAGTATACACATACATATATCTGCGTGCCGGGACTGAATTTTTACCAAGGATGGGATGTCTGTTCTTCACGCTTGATTATGCGTTTGCATGCACATAAAGGCAGAAGTCAAACACGGGACAAACCTCGACCTTTTTTATTATTATTTTTTTAAACACGGATATTTACATGGTTGACTTTGACGGCAGGTGTCGGCTGGCAGTTGAGGCATTTGATGGCATTTCGGGCTGCAGATCGACGAGAATAAAACTGCGTGCGTGCCATAAAAGTTATGGCTTTTCTGGGGTCAAACTAAGGGGGCGTCTGGGAGGTTGGCATTAAAAACCACAATGTGTGCGTTATTTTTGTAACATTTATGCACAGCCCGTTTTCGCTTTTAATTGCTTAGCTGACCTTGCTCGCCGAGTGGGTTAATGGGTTAGCCTTTTGTCGGGGCTATCGGTTTTAATTTATCGAATGGCCGATGTAGATAATGCATAATTGCAATTTCAATTTGCCCGTTTTAATATTCAGCTAAAGATGCGGGCGCTTTAACGGTATAATTGAATGTTGGAACCTTTTTGGTAATTAGTGCATTCAAATAAATGTAATCGGGCCTTTTAATGCTACAATTAAACGAAAATTGTGGTGAATAAATAAAAAAGTGGCTATTTTAGTTACAAGAATATGTTAATACAATTAATGTATATTAAAATCTATTTATGTTTTCAAATTGTTAAAATAATTAGAAATAATTAGAATTAATAGATAATTAGAAAATAAAATAATAATAAACAATAATAATAATTTCTTTCTTTTTTATTTCAGTTAAACTTGATCCACAGATATTTAAATTATGGATTTATAAAAATTTGCTTTTGTTTTTTTATCTTGAATAATTTTAAACCACTTTCCCAACTATAAACTATACTTTTTCTATCTTTCCCCTATGTTTCACCCGTCTTTCTCTTGGGCCCTTGAACCCCGAGACTTAAAGGTGAGCCATATCAACAGGCTCTCTATGGGTGCAATCTCTTGCCAACGGTTGCCAAGCTCTTATTTGGCTATTATTCCTTTGTTTTCGCCTCGTCTTTCTTTAATTATAAAGCTACATGAACCCGGCTCACACTCCGTTCCATACATATAAATATATATAGGTTTTTACGGCACTACAGCCAAAAAACGAGAAAAAAAACTGCAAAATAGCAAGGGAGATGTAGAGGGAAAACTCATATTCCCATTGGCATCAAATTGTCTGCACGACAAGGTAACCGAGTATTAAAAATTTCAGCACCAGCAACAGAATTTTCTGACCAGCGTTCGTCCGAGATATTTTCCCGCCCCGTTTCCCTTGCTTTCCCAGAATTTCCCTAGCAACGCAAGCCGCTTAACGCAGCCAACTGCCAAATGTAAATATACTCCAACCCCAAACCGACAAAAAAATATAAAACTTTCTTAATAATACAACGAGCAGAAAAAAAAGGCCCAGAAGGAGGAGAAAACTCGGTCCAAGGCGACGGCAGACCCGCGAGGAAAATTCGCATTGTTTTCAGCTTTTCAGCGCCCAAACAACAACCGAAAGCGGAAAGCCGGGGCTGGGAAATAAGTGGGCGTGGCGTTGGGACTGGGGTTTTCCAGAACCGGGGGACAGGCAATGGGAACTTAAAAACTTTGGCCATATCCCGCAGCTATGAACAACAGCAATCAATTTTCACATGCCGGCGAACAAATGTGCCGCACCAGGATGTCCCCCAGCTAAAAAGGGGGCAGGGCAGGGGGAAAGGCCGGAAAAGCGGCGGGAAAAGGGGTAGCGGACTGCCCAAAAGAAGTAGTTTAAAATTATAATGCCGCTTCGCGTGGGACCATCATCAATCCGTGCAAACACAGAAGAGCTCATGGCAGCGATGGCTCCGGAAATCACGGCATTCCAAATGGAAGTCTAATACTAATTAACCCTTTCAAGTGTAAATGAAGTCTTCTTTGAAACGATTTTTATGATATAAAAGTAAACAAAAGTTTAACTTAATCAATAATATGAAAAGCTGCATCAAAATATTTGAATTCCACCCGAAAATATTATAACTTTTAAATACTTTGTATCTTTTTGGCATCATAGCTAAAGCAAAAT